ATCTTGAGCTCCTAGCGTAAGGTTCTTGCGAGTGGTTTGCCAGTTTTAGTTAAATTAGGCGGAATTAATGGTTGGAAAGGTCCGTTGAGAGTGATCTTTCCATTCTCCAGGGAGCGGAATGTGTTTAAGATTAGGGCTGCGCCTTGTGAAGGCTGCCTACGTACCCTTTTGAGGGGATCAAGCCTTTCGTAGTTCGTTTTGGAGTTAAAGTTCGTATGACCTGTTTCCCAGCAAGACCTTTACGGTCTAGTTATATGTTTATCGAGCATATTGATGTCGATGGTATCTTGACCTTTGCCGGCCTTGAGACTAGCCTCGTAGGCCGTTTGGTCTGGCTGAGCGTGGCCGTTATAGTTTTCGGACTGGCCGTGTGCGGCTCTGAGTCCCTGCCGCTTTTGCGGTTTTATTCAAAATCAGTTTGCGTTTTTAAGAGCGTGTTTTTATTCGTATGAATGTAGCGGGACGAATATGAGTTGATATTGAGAGAGGTCCGCGAGTTGTCGTCTCGCATTCCGTTCCCTTAGTAGATCGCCTTGTTCGTTTGCCCGTCGTAGGATGTTTGGTAAATTGAGTGAGCGTTTAGATATAGACAAAGAGACATGCCTTTAGGATCTCGATTCATGCCTTGAGACGTTAGCGACCAGTGTGCTGGGTTTAGGGCAAGACATAGGTTTACTTTCGGATTAAGGCTGTGCGATGACTAGTCGGCTTTCGTTTTGCCTGTTGCGATTTTAACCTGATTCCATACCGATTTAGAATCCGTGATAGGTTCTCGGCTTATACGATTCGTCTGGTTGGAACCGAGCATCTCACCGGGAACAATTTCTAAGTTGCCCGGAAGTGCTGACCAAAAGTTTGGATTTCTTTTATAGCGCTATTACCCTTGTGTCGGGTGTTCGAGAGCTATCTCTGCGAGATAACTTAAGTTTGTTTAAGACTGTTGCAAGTTCGTTGTGATCAGCAGCGAACTATTTTTAAGTGATAGATGTTTACGTAGTTTGGGCCTTCGCGAAGGATACGTACGTTAAGAAGTTTTGCGTATTTTATAGTCGCGAACGGACTGTTAGGTCTTCCAAGAAAATGACTTTATCGAGGAAGGTATTTGTGTCGAAAAACTAATCTCCGGGCGTCTGCGACGTCTCGCAGTGCCGAAAGTTGGTTTTTATTTTATATGCCGCGTTTCNTCGCGAACGGACTGTTAGGTCTTCCAAGAAAATGACTTTATCGAGGAAGGTATTTGTGTCGAAAAACTAATCTCCGGGCGTCTGCGACGTCTCGCAGTGCCGAAAGTTGGTTTTTATTTTATATGCCGCGTTTCGTGTTCGGAACGTTTGCGGGCTCGAAGATGTTGCGCGGTGTTGCGAGGGTTTTGTCTTAACCCTGTTTTGCACGAACACTTTTGTTCGTTTGCGTATATTCGCAATTAAAACTAACATTCATGTTTGGATGTTAGGTAGTTTTATGATTTGTGCTAGAGCAATTAGGACTGAGAGGTCGCGCAAGTTGTTTCCCCGAAACGAAGGGTTTTTCGTTACGGTGCTTTGTAAAGTGTTGACCTTCCGAGATTCGT